ACAAACTTCGCACCACCATCAGCCACGACAGCACGCCAAGTCTCCACAACAGCGCTCTGCACCGCCGAGGGAGCCAGCAGGTACGCACCGGCGGGGCGGCCGTCCATCAGCATCCTCCTGATGAACTTCGAGGTGTCTCGTGTCGTCGAGCCAAACACCATCACAGCCTGCTGCAGAGTCGCAGCAAACCGCTCCCACGCAGCATCGAACTCCTTCGAGCCGGCCTCACCTCCTACATCGCTACCCACGGTGAAGACGCCGCTCACCTCGCAGCCCATCTCCAACATCACACGCTATGCCTGCTCGCACTCCCTGTGGCCAAAAAAGACGCCCCGCACGTACATGAAGCCTAGCCGAAGCACACGCAGCTCAGTCACGGCGTAACGGACAAGTGCCAGCAGCTCCGCCACGGGATCAACACGCAAAAAGTACACGTTGGGGTTCCACCCACGCACCGCACTCGGCGCTGTGAGCGGGGCAAAAGCAACGAGATCAAAACGACGCAATAACGGCAGCACAGCCCTCAAGTACGTATCGCCGAACTGAGTCAGAAGAGCGACAATACTTTTTTCCTTCTGCATCACTTCCTCCAGGACAGTATCAAATTCGCTCATTTTCACCTCCCTTCTAAAAACTTCAGCATAAACGTCCTCCTCAGCAGCAGAGTTGCGTGCCCACAGCGAGACATTTACGCCGGTGCAAAAAGCGGTAACCATAGGCTTGGGTACGGCGATATCCGACCCCCTTATCAGTAGCATCTTCACATGGGTCTTGGAAACTGCGGATTTGGAAGCTGCAGTGTGCGGGGCAAACAGCAAGGCGCGACGGCGCAGCAGAGGGCCGCAATCCCAACCGCGCACGGCCGCTTCCCCGCCCCCAACGTACCGCCATATCTGGTGCCTTGCGACTGTCCTGCTGTGTCGCCTGTGAATTCCTACGGCAAAGAAAAAGGGAGAGACAACGGCGGACACAATGCACAAAAATCATAAAAAGGGAGGAGTGAGCGCCGGTGAGGGCATATGGCCACATGTGCGGCTGTTAACGCATTCGGGGCGCAGAAATGCGACGCCAGCAATAAAGGCCAAACATCTGGGTAAGTGAACATTGAGATACAAAGCTACAGAGAAGCGTTCATTCTCCTTTATTGGTACATGGAAAGTATGTGCGCTGTGTGACAGTGAGTGCTCTAGTTAA